AGAAATTTGTTCTACCTTTGTCTCTCCCTTGGCCTAGGTGAATTCTATTCAAAACCCTCCCACCCTTTCTTATCATCCCTCTCCTTCGTACTTTTATGATATTTATTTAAACTCTGATTATCGTTCCATTTGATTTGACCTAATTTATTTATTTATTGAATTGTCTACATATATGCATATACTAACTTTGTTATTCTTATCACCTATATAAGCCTTATTAACAATATTGAATTGAATTTTTGATTTTCCCGTCGATTGATTGGACCGAAGTGCTCGGTCTCAGGTTGACATGTCGGCTTCTTGTGCAGATGCTTCGACGATGTCTGGGTATTTAGTTAGTATACAATTGGTGGATGGTGGCTAGCAGTGGAATCCAGGATGCGCATTTCGTCCTATTTGGGACTCGTCAGCTGGATGTACCTGCATTTCTCAGTGAGTGATGATGTTCCCACCGAGGCTCGAACCCAGTACCCATAGTTTCAAACGCCAAAGCGTTATCAAAAATTCAATTCAATAATTAATATGACCCGTCGCACAAGAGGTGGCTCTCGTGGCCCAAGTGGTCTAGTGGATAACGCTTTGGCGTTTGAAACTATGGGTACTGGGTTCGAGCCTCGGTGGGAACATCATCACTCACTGAGAAATGCAGGTACATCCAGCTAACGAGTCCCAAATAGGACGAAATGCGCATCCTGGATTCCACTGCTAGCCACCATCCACCAATTGTATACTTATTAACAATATTTTGTTATTATTATAATCATCGCTATTAACTTCGTTCAAAACATTTACCACAATATTATTACTATTATTATTATTATTTTATTATTATGATTACTATTATTATTTGATCCACTAAATCACCGTCATTGGTTAAAATTTTATATATATAATTCTATGTAAATTAGAGTAAAGCCTGAAGAAGATCTAATTGAAAACAATATTGTTCGCTTATATGTCTTGTTCTGAATAACTAGCTGTTTAATAACATCTTTGCAGGCCGTTTCATGTCTCTATTCTACAACTCATTCTCAACCTTCCCTTCTCTTGTCTCTTATCAACTATTAATTCTGAATGATTATTCATCACTCAACCAATTAGTTGTCAACCCTTTTGATTAAGCACGACTACTCCTAGTCTTTCAAACATACTTATTGCTCATTCACTCTGACTTGATTTATCACTCGCTCAAAGTTACCTTTGACCTCTGTTGTCAACCTATCAATCAATCAATGAATCTATGTTGTATATGCATAAACAACACCCTACACAAACCTACAGCCTTGAAGTGACTCTACGAAAAGTGATCTCTTTACTGACAAGGCATGTCTTCTTCTTAATATTAAAAAAAAGTTAGTAGAAAGAGTTATTCCAGATGAGATGAGATGAGATGAGATGAGATCACGCCATGAGACCAGGTGAGGTGATATCAGACCGGGAGGATGACGCCTGCCCAAGGCGACTCTCCACATGAACCAATCACAATTGAGATTGATTATTATTGGTGTGTAGAAAATCAAGGTGAATAATTAATTATTATGGCTGTTATCACATGCATCCCCTTGACAAAGTGTTCTGATAATAATAATAATAATAATAATAATAATAATAATAATAATAATAATAATAATAATATATATCCTCATTTTTTACATGAGGGACGCCAGTTTACAGGCATCATCAATTCGATAATTTACACATAATATTAATAAGCATATTTAGTAAAGATAATATAATAAAGTACATTTTTTCCCTAGCTATGTAGGGTACACCAATTGTATAGGCATGCATAAATATTGTTTTAATAATAATAATATATTCCTTCCTGTTTATGCAGGAACATACCTATTGTACAGGCATGGATAAGTTATTATATAAATTACACAAAATTTGATGTATAATGGACTTACAGTTTGGTTGTTCTTTCTGACATTAGAGTCAGTCGGAACAGTCTGCTATAAAGTCTGTTTGTGTAGCACATAAAGAGATATAGAAATATTGTCTTCGCATTAACAAAAAACCCAGACATCACATGAATGTAATACAGATATCTGGGAAAAATAAAGCTTGAAGTCAATTCTCCTACATAACTTTGTTGTGAACAGCACCCTTGGCTTAAAGATTATTGATGTATTATATTGAGATCAGTGATATATTTATTCCATTTTTCAGCAGTCTTATCGTAGTTTCATAACAGGAAAGAAATTTGATCGTGGAGGCGAAAATTAGATAAAGTCATGCTAAGTTGTTTTACTGCATCAAATGGTCCCGAGGTCGATTCCAGAATTCTCCATTTGCTCCATTTGTGTCTGCATGGCGGACTGTACTCGTAAGTTGAGTAAAATGTTGAAAACCAGTTGCTTCTTCATTTCAGATCATGAATACTCATTTACATCGTGTTCGCCAGCTTCTTTAAATGGTAGAATTGGATCGTTCCTGGAATTTGAGTGATTATGGGATAAATGGTTTGGAATTAATCATAGCAGTTAGAATACAGTTAAACATGCAGAGAAGTACTTTTGATTCAGCAACCGGTGAATTTTTTATTCTTTTCGATCTAGTACCAGAATAACTGCGAACCATTCCATTCAATATGTCGAATAAGGCACGCAGGAGGAGATCATTACCATGGAATGAGTCAACTTGATCTGAGATGCAGCTTTCAGCATGTTTTCGTTATATCATAGATATCCAGGTTTATTGGCGCTGTAGAGGCAGTGATTTGGATTATAACGTAATCTACAAAGTCTCCGTGTCCATTTGAAGTATACATATGCTTTGAAAGGATTACTTTGTTGGCTCCTACCCCCACTGAGTGTTAACAACAGCTGCTGTGGGTTTATGTATTTCCTCGCCTTTTTGGATAAAACATCGCCGCATTCTTTTTGGGTAGGAGACCAGTTGGTGGATTATAAATGATATCCAAGTAACTTTTATCTTTTCATGTGGTGTTGCGGTAAGTTTCTACCTTGTTTTCTCATATTTCATTCGTATGTTGATTATGGTTCGCCCTTTGTATCAGGTAGACATAGTTTGATCGACTCTTGGTTGAATGGGTGTTATTGTCATGACTGCTGCTTTTTTGTCTGGAATTATAAATAGAGACAAAACAAACAACAGGTGTAGTCTCTGAGTTCATACATTAAATGGGCCTATGATTTCTGAAACTCTTACATGGGAATTACCATTGGTATCAATTACAAACTCACTTAGTGTGTCATTAAGTGCCTTTTCAAAGGAGGCCAATGTGCTTGCTAGTCGTATTTTCTCAGGTAGTTTGTTCCATATTTGGGCATACCTAATCAAGAAAAACTTTTGCCTGGTGGCTGTTTTACATGGTTCTATAGCCACTGTACCTTTAGTGTGCCTAAGGTTGTATCCTGTGTTACCTGAGGACCGAGTATAGTTAGCAGGGGTATACACTATTTGGTTAAGAAGCTTATAGAAGAGTAACAGATTTAGTCGCAGTCGCCTTAACCATAATGTTTCTAGTCCCAGGATTTCACATCTGGTAGAGTAGTTTGTGCCGTTATCGGTTCCGAGTACTTTTCGCGTGAAGTACCTCTGTACTCCTTCTACTTTCAGTTTGTCTTCTATGCGTGTACTGCTGAATATGAATGAGCAGTAATCTAGGAGTGGGCGCACACATACCTTGTACAGTAGTATTCTGGACTCGTTTCTGTAGAAGTTCCTGAGTAGGAAACCAATAAGCCTTCGTGATTTCGACACTTGATTCGAGATATGCTCTGAAAATGATAGATTGTGTGAATATTTCAGTCCTAGGTCTAGTACAGATTTGAGTCTGGGGATTTTGTGGCCCTGAATTGCTAGGTTGAGGTCAAGGTTGGAACAGCCTATGCAGAGCCATCCACACTTTTCAACATTAAACTCAAGTCTCCACGTGTCACACCATCTATCCATTTTTGCTAATTCTTCATGTATGGAGTTCATAGTTGGGCCGATATCTGTATTTGTGCAGGTATATGTCACCTTCAAGTCATCTGCATACAGTATTGGCTTGCCTATACTAAAACATTCACATATACTGTTTATGTATATAATGAAAAGAAGGGGTCCCAATACACTCCCCTGGATGACACCACTGCTGATTGGTCTAGGTCTGGAGGTCATTGAGCCAACTTTAGTTGTCTGATTCCTGTCATACAGAAATGATTTTATCCAATTGTAGAGGGGGTTGCGTATCCCTAGTGAGCATAGCCTACCGACTAACAGACTATGTGGGACTCTGTCGAAGGCTTTCCTTATATCGAAATAGAGGATAATCACTAGCTCTCTCCTATCTCTTCTATAGGTGACTTCGTTGAAAAAGTCTATATGGCAAGTGACGCAAGATCTTTTCTTGAGGAATCCGTGTTGTGACAGGTTGATGAGTTTATGTTTTAGAAAGTAGTCTGACATTTGGTCTTTGATTACTTTCTCCATGATCCTTGATATGACTGGTGTTATATTGATAGGCCTATAATTACATGCACTAGTTTTGGCCCCTCCTTTATGCTTAGGTAATATATATGTGTTTTTCCAAGTTTCAGGGTAGGTTTCGGTCACTAGTGAGATATTAAATATTCTAAGTAATAATACAATCATATCCGTACCACCGTTTTTGTATATGACGGATGGTATATCGTCTATCCCACAACTACTGTTAGCTTTTAATGTCCTTACCGCCGATGCTATATTTTGTATATTAAAGTTTATTTCACCTAACTTGTTGTTATTTTTGCAGGTTATGTCGAGAATTGGGGACGGATGTGCTTTGGTGTTATTGGAGAACCACTCACTCAATAGTTCACTAATGATCTGGTGAATGGTGATTGGATGAACGATGCAGACGATCAGACCAATCAGTGAGCAGCTGAAATCAAGCATGTCAGTTTAGCTATATAAGTGTGGAGATGTGCCGGTATGCGATTAATTAGACGTGACGTGACGTGACGTGAGGTGACTGTACTTGTCGACATCGGTTGTCAGAAAGCATCACCATGGTAGGTCGTTGTTCTTGTTTATGTGTTATGCATTGTGATGGTGACTTGAGTTGCTTGGTTAGTTGGTTGATGTAGGTGGTCGTGTATGTATTGATGGTATGTAGTGTTATGTATTATCGACATTGACTGGTATTTGGCTATCCCGGTAATGACGACGAGTAGTAGTAGTAGTAGTAGGAGGAGGAGGAGGAGGAGGCTGTGTTGTTAGCTAGAATGTGAGGCAGGACTGATTTACTTGCAGGTGAGATGAGGTTCCACCTACAATACGGCGTGTTGTAGCTAATTATTCGATTGGTAATAATCTGGATGAGTGTGAGTTGTGGTTGTCTGTCGAGTAGGCGGAGGTAGGAGGTGAAATGTTATCAGATTAGGCGGGTGGTATAGCGAAGGAGTGCATGTATTGTCACGAGAAGTTGTATGAGACAGTATGTGAGATTCGTTTTGGTATAGTTCTAAGTTGTAAGGTGTTGTAAATTTCTCCTTGGAGTGAGTTAATCACAGTTTGTTTGTTTGTTTGTTTTTCAGCGTGAATGTATTAGTCTCCATGTTGGTCAAGCGGGTGTCCAGATGGGAGATTCGTGTTGGGAGTTGTACTGTCTGGAGCACGGGATTGAGCCAGATGGGCGAGTGTTGGTTGACTCGACAATCTCGACGAGTGGAAGTGGAAATGACGCATTCGGTACATTCTTCAGTGAGACGGGTTCCGGTCACTATGTTCCACGTGCAGTGTTTGTTGATCTTGAACCGACGGTGGTTGATGGTTTACGCCATGGGAAGTACAAGCAGTTATTCCACCCGGAGCAGATGATTACTGGCAGGGAGGATGCGGCGAATAACTATGCGCGTGGCCACTACACGGTGGGCAATGAGCTAGTGGACGAAGTGTTGGATCGGATACGAAAGCTGTCGGAGAGATGCACTGGTCTTCAGGGCTTCCTCATATTCCATTCGTTTGGAGGTGGTACTGGTTCAGGTTTTACCTCGCTACTGATGGAACGGTTGTCGGTGGATTTTGCGAAGAAGGCGAAACTGGAGTTCGCAGTATATCCCGCTCCACATATCTCTACAGCTGTCGTTGAGCCGTATAACTCAATCCTGACGACTCATACGACGTTGGAGCACTCAGATTGTGCTTTCATGGTGGACAACGAGGCGATTTACGAGATATGCCGTCGAAATCTGACCATTGATCGCCCATCATACACGAACTTGAATCGTCTGATTGGCCAAGTGGTGAGCTCGATAACAGCTTCACTTCGATTCAGTGGCGCGTTGAATGTGGATTTGAACGAGTTCCAGACGAACCTTGTACCTTATCCACGTATTCATTTCCCGTTGACGACATATGCACCGGTCATCTCAGCTGAGAAGGCATTCCACGAGCAGCTGAGTGTCTCAGAGATCACGAACTCGTGCTTTGAGCCAGTGAATCAGATGGTGAAGTGTGATCCACGGAATGGGAAGTATATGTCGTGTTGCTTGTTGTATCGTGGTGACGTTGTTCCGAAGGATGTGAATTCAGCGATAGCGAGTATCAAGACCCGGAAGTGTATTCAATTTGTGGATTGGTGCCCTACAGGTTTCAAGGTGGGCATCAATTATCAGCCGCCTACGGTTGTTCCTGGTGGTGATTTGGCTAAGGTGAAACGTGCTGTCTGTATGTTGAGCAATACAACGGCGATATCTGAAGCGTGGTCACGTTTGAACCGGAAATTCGATTTGATGTATTCGAAACGGGCTTTCGTGCACTGGTATGTTGGTGAAGGTATGGAGGAGGGAGAATTTTCGGAGGCGCGAGAAGATTTGGCTGCTCTGGAGAGAGATTATGAAGAAGTGGCCAGTGAGACGAGTGTGGATGGGCAATCAGATGACGGTTATTGATGTGACATAAATCAATTTGGTTATTTCGATTGTAATGTAATTGATCAGAGTTTTCTTTTGTACCTATAAACAAACTTATTAAGCGACGAGCATGTCTTTTCTTGTTTTGATTTGCGTCGTACTGTGTTCTGGTTAGTTGTATATATAGTGGATTATAGTTGATTGTGGTAGGCATAATTTAGTGGGACCGTTGGATCGGGTGTGAAATTTGCGTTCGTGTAAGTGTCCGCGTGATAATGTTTGTCTCGTCTGAGCTCGAGTATGATTATGAATTGAGACGTGTTAGGGTTTGTGTTGCTGTTTATCCGTTCTAGAACCAACTCGTAATCGATTGAAGTGGTTGGTTGGTTGGTTGTGAATACATGTTTAGCCTATATGTGTAATTGATTAATAGAGCGTGGAATTAGGTGTGGTCGATTAGGAGGGACATTTGTGACGATGGGCTTGTTTTGTGAGTCGTGTCAATTGAAGGTGTGTGTGGGGGTGGTGAAGTAAGTGTTGAGTGGTTGGAGCGTCCAGCGTTGTGTTTTCGTGCTGTAGGTTACGGTTGTTTCGTATGGATGAAGTGGTGATTTGGGTTGTCTGACGTAGAATTAATAATAATAGTGGTTGGCCTTACTCCGAAATAGTCCTGATGCGTTGTTGAATTTCCCACATTTGGTGCAGTATTTCATCTAATTTACCCGACAGCGGGGGAAACAGAAATATGAAGTAACATTACTGAACTGATGATCTCGGTCCCTGGTTTAGGTATTGTAGTAGCGGTGACGACGACGACAAAGTGAAATATCTACGACAAGTGTAAAATAATGATGATTGCCAGCTTGACTGATTGAATTCAGTCTGCACCGAAGATAGGAGTAGACACATTACACTAGTTACTGACTATTGTCCAGTCAATAATGGTGATAATGTCAATATCTAAAATTATGTGGAAGCCAATTGAATGGTATGAATGAATGGTGGTATTAGCGAATAATAGGAGAGGACGACATAGCCAATTAATTATGCTAATGACGTATTTAGTCGTAGGTTTCGCGCTTAACATTATATCAATATTATATGGGACGCGGGCTAATATGAGGTGTCTGTCTATTGACTAGAAGAGTAGTAACGAGTTGACTGAGTGGCACACCGCCTGCTCTACTGACGACAGTCCTTAGTATTCTACACATTGTGATATAGTCTAATTGTAGTTGACTAAGTAGGGTAAGCGGAGATGAGGAGTAGTAGGTAAGATGCAAGAGTTAACAAAGTGTAAGAGTGGAGGTTGAATGATTGCAGACTACTTACTGTCTTAACTTCATGAGGTAGTAGTAGGTTGGATGGAAGATTTTCTTGGAAATCAACAAGATATGGGATCACCGACAAAGGAAAGTTAGAGAATGGAAGTATTCGAAGGTATTTGACGGCGCTTTCCTCTCTAGTTCAATGCTATTTAGCTGACAGCATAATGTGAGCGAACGGACCATTCCGTGTAGGTGATGTTTATACCTAAAGGCGAAGTTAAATCTTAGTAGACATTTGGACGGATTTAAGATGACAGCTTAGACCGCTAGCTGATATCCAACAAAGAGCAACTATCAAGTTTGGTAAAGTCAGGTCGGGACTTAACTGGCAGCGAGAGAGTAAGATGCTCAGCGTGCTCAACGAAGGTGATTTCATTCGGAAGAGGTAAGAAAGAAGAGAACTCTACCTTCAGTAAGCAGCGGAGCAGCTGGATATTATATACCAGAGAACATCGATGAGGCAGACGCTGATATCATTTCCTAGGTCAGTGAGCCGAATTTTCGGTCCTCTTTCATCTTCAAAACTTGCATAAATGGTCTTCTTCATTTCACTGGATATGTGTGTAATCTACCATGAGATGTTCATGCATACCGTCGCCTACACATGCTGTTCAACTGGAATTGACGCATCCTAACAGCTGGATATTACTTACACAAAGACACTACACTGGTGTTGTCAATATGAATAACTCTTCAACAACTGTGTGTATAGACATCTAACTGTAGGGCGAAATGTGTCAGTTGTCGGAATGAGTATTCTTCGATCCATCATCTCTGAGTAAACCACGAGTATTCATTCTTTCGCTAATCCCCTATATAAGAAGGGACTATACAGTTTTATGTATAGTGATGGGAGAATTCTACAATACTATGTATGATTCCATTCACCGAGTATTTTGATGACACTGAGTGATGGATGATATGATATTACACGGTGAAGAGAAGTGCATTATTTCTATGTGGTCACATTGAAGTGATGTGGCGAGGAATGTATAACAGCTTGTCATTATTATCAATAAATACACATGATGCTGATCTGGATGTGATAACTCTGAAATGTATTATTTCCATGCAAGAAAGAATGTGGTCTGGTACTGTGTAAAGTGAAACGTTTTATTGAGTTTCCGATCGTCATTTACATCTGAGTTTGTAGCGTTTTATGTTCTGCCCCACGTAAAGCTGATGTGTCCTGGCTGATGACAGAGAAAATTACTCAGCCCTGTGTTGTATAGAGTGAGATGCGAGAATTTTTCAGAGATAGAAGAGACTTTGGTGCAGGATGGTATGTACCGAGTTTATTTCGACGGTTCTATTCACCTAGGCAGAACCCACACTATTTCTATCAGTTGAAATAAACTCATCGTCCTTATGTTTGTTTCACTATGACTTTCTTAATTACATCTATATACGATCGAGGCTGATGATAAAGAAATGTAAAGATTTGTAGTTGTAGTGATTGTCAGTCAGTGATCATTGCGTAAGCACAGATAAAATACAGTGACTAGAAGTAATGATAATATTGTGAAATGAAAATTTGGTGTGTACATGACCGAATGCAAAGACGATGGATGACGTTACTCAACAGGCAGCATTCTAGGAGTCAATAAAAAATTACGTCTAATTTGAAAGTGTGGTTGTCTGGAGAATAGTGAACCGCATGCACAATAGTCACAGTCGTTTTCGTTCACTTCATAAACGGAATCACAGAGGGATTAATCGTGTCACACTCAGAGATAAGAGATAGACTATGCTCGTATAGCCTATTTCAGTCCTCGAAAATACCTGTGCCCCTACGATGATGCATTTTCTCATTCTAAGCGTTCACAGATG